CTTTGTCACAGCTCTGAGATCAGTCTGACTGAAACCTGCAAACAAGCATCATTACATTTAGTGACCATGTGGTCTTTGTACAGACCAGGACCTCTGCTGGAGTCCAGTACCCACAGCTGATGTGTTGCTGTTCAGTCTTTGTATGAACATGTAGGACCTTTAACATCAGATATATATCTGTCCATTTGTCTCTTGTTTGTCCAAATAGTTTGAATATTTACACATTTGTCCTGTAACGATTTCAGATGAAACATTCAAATGTGACTGAGACTGTGGTTTTTATCAGCTTTGAACCCTAACAGCAGTAAATGCATCATTCCAGTGGGCAGTGAATGTCTCTCTGTTTCTGCAGTAATGATGTGTTCAGTCCCTGCTGCTCTTTATACTGGATGTGCTGATGGAGGGAGTCTCTGTAAACACTGATTTATCTCTGCTGTCCTCTGTCTCCTTCTCTCCTCAGCTGGAAGTGATCTCAGTCAGACTGTGAGCGGTGAGGACGGAGGTTGTGTTGGAGGATCCGCTGTGTCCTGATGATCCAGAGAGGTTGAAGCAGCAGCATCAGCTCTGACTGGGCCATGTTACTGGGAGGTAGAGTGGAGAGGAGAGCTTCATCCAGCAGTGACTGACAGAGGAATCACAACCAGTGGAGACAATTCTCAGTGCTGCAGTCTGAACTGCTCTGAGATCAGCTCCCTGTGTGTTCCTCTGGATCATGTAACAGAGTATCATCAGTGTATCTGGAGCACTCTGCTACTGCTACAGACACCTCCTCCACTTGGACCTGGACCTGGAACCTCCATGGTGCATGGATGTAGGCTTGTACATATAAATACTTGTGACCATATATGTGTGTATGGGTAAAGTGTTCATAATAAGATGAATTTGTAGCTATAGCTTGATTTTCTTCCCCTCTCTTTGTTGCACCGGGTGTATACAAAAATAATAATGACACAATCATGTAAAATTGCTCTACAACAACATTATAGAAAAGTACCAGCAAAATGATTTTTAACAAAACCCAACACTGTGTACCAAGAATAAAACAATCTACAGAATCAGAGAAAAATAACAGTAATTGTAGAAGAGAGAAACAGGTTAATCACTATGTCATTAAAGTCCAGCTCAATAGACAGCATAGCCAGTGAGTTGAGCTGGTCCTGTCCCATTATACTTTGAAAGAAGGATTTGATCCTCTTCAGTGTAATGAAACACCTCTCTGACTCTGCAGATGTAATGGGGGGTTGTGATGACTGTTTGCGTTACTTTCAGTGTTTCAGAAAAAGTGCTCTGAAGATTGTTCTCAGTCAGCATCCTCAATAGTGACATTGCAGACGTTAGGCCCACAAACTCCACACTGCTGTACATCACTCTTTATATATATACACAGTATATGTGTATATATATATATATATATATATATATATATATATACACTACTCACAAAAAGTGAGGGATATTCCACTTTCGGGTGAAATGTATGGAAAATGTAAAAAGTTGATGCTACAGTGATATTATATCATGAAAGTAGGGCATTTAAGTATAGAAGTTCAAATTAAGATCACCTGGAAAGGTTATAGTGCATTTTATGTACATTCTGAAATTTCATCCGAAAGCCGAATATCCCTAACTTTCTGTGAGTAGTGTATATACACATATACATATTGATTATCTACTGAGTGCTGATTCAATAGGTATTATTATATTTTCCTTAATAATACAGGTGAAGAGCTCTGGAAGAAAAAAACTGCCTGCAACCAATTTGCAGTTAACAGGCAGACTATATATTTGTAGCCATATATGCTGCCATCAGGTCGTTCAGTTCAATCCAGTTAAATTTTATTTGTATAGCTCCAATTCATAACAGAAGTTATCTCAGGACACTTTTCAAATAGAGCAGGTCTAGACCGAACTCTTTATAACATTATTTACAGAGACCCAACAGTACCACCATGAGCAAGACCTTGGAGACAAGGGCAAGGAAAAACTTCCTTTTAAGAATTTCTTACCAGGTACATTTAACCTGTGTAACCATGTAACTTACACTATGTTGGGAAAACTAAACTGATTATCGATCAATTATCAGATCAGATAGCCTTTTTCTGTGACTGGGATCATGAGATATAAGAATGTAAAATATCAGGTTGATCAGCTTTATAACAGTGTCAGATAGTTTCATCTGATTTTAGTTCATTTGGCTCCGTCTGGTTCATTCTCTGTATTGTTGTATTTCATATGTCATTGTACTACTATGTGTTTACTTTTATGTTCAATACTCAATACTCAATACTCTTCCTCACAAGTGCTCTATAAATAAAGTGTAAAGTGCAGTATTTGATGACTTAATAGTTTGTTAATCATACAGTTTATGTTGAATTAAAGTGTTCTTCATTTATCATAAACTATATGAATAAAAGTACAGTGACCTCAGAGTTCAGGTTCAGAGTTAAATCCTGAATGAGGTGAGGGATGCAACTGAGACACTTCTGAGGAAACAGGAGGAGCTTCAGCCCAACTGTGTGTGTGTGTGTGTGTGTGTGTGAGACTTGTTGATCCAGTTGTTATCAAACAGCAGAATCAGACTGACAGGTTGCTTTCATTCCTTTCATATTGTTCATTGTTCTAAATAATCACCTGATTATAATGCGTTCCATTTGGACTGGGAAGTCAGATTTCCAACTTGGAAAGTTGGAAGAACCTCACCAACCTCAAAATCCAAGTTCCTCCAACCCCAGCTGAATAAGACTGGTTTATCCTTAACCTACAAACTCTCTGTACAAACTACTCCTTCCACTTGCACTTATTCTGCTTAAAATAATTTGCACACCATTTTACTGCACACTACATAAAGAGTATATATTTTTCATTGTAGTCTTATGTTTTCTATTATGTCTTTATAATATTTTTACTTTATGATTCTTTATTGTACTTACACTTCTCTACTTGTTGTACTACATTCCCTTGTGCTTCTGTGTCTGACTTGGATTTCTCCCATAGGGGATCAATAAAGGAACATCTTATTTTAAGATGGCTGCTCTGTGCATCAACTTAGTGAAAGCTGCAGCAATGTTCTGATTATTAGCACTTCTGTCTTTTGCAGATTGCTACTCCCTCAATTCACCCTCCCCTTTCAAGCACAGAGGAGAAACTACGGTGGCCACAAAACGCAAAAACAGCAAACAGACCTATCTTGAAGCAGCGTTTTGTTTGTCCCTTCAGGGCTACTGTAGAAAAATGGCAGTTCACGGAAGGCGACCCACTCCCTTGTCCATTTTCTTTTATCCTACCCAGGCACAAAAAGAGGTTATTCTAAGGTAAGGAAAACACAACAATTCTTCCAATTCAATTCAACAGCTGGATGCATTTTTGTTTATTTATTTAACCGGAGATATCAATCGAGAACCAATTCTCATTTACATTGATGTCCTGGCCAAGAGGCAGCAGCAAGAGGCAATCCAATACGTAGTGTAAAGTAAAACATACATACAGCTAATGTGAAAAAACAATACAGTGTGTTCCAGAGAAGGAGATTTAAAAGCAAGTGTAATAATCAGAAACTAATGCATGTACTGAGTTATTGAAGGTAGGAGCATAATGGAATAATGATTTTAACTAAAACATTATAGAAACTCAGAAACTCTGAATATTTAACAGCAACATTTATTTTACACAACTGAAATACGTTCTCACTTCCAGCTCATCAAGAACTGCAGCTTGGTCAGCGGTATCCCTCCAGCATCAGTTTTGTACGTGCGGGGCTCTGTGGTCAAGTAGAACTTTACCTAAAAGGAGTCAACATTAACTTTTGTTTTCTAATGGGATACAAACAGCCGTCTCCTGTATGAAAGTCTTGTTTGAGTCTTCCATCCTCCTCACCACCTCCATACGTGGACTTTTTGCTCTTTATACTATTTCACATGACTTCAACAGAACATCAAAACATTACCCTACACAGGCACATCCAGTAGTAACGTTAGAGGGATACCTATAGCATCATATTTTGAACTGACATAGCTGCAGTATTCGATGATTTACGGTTGAGAATGGGCTGACAACAGCAAATGAGAAGGAAGGAATCCACAAGCCCCGTTTTAATTCGCAGTTCAGATTCCATCAATTATCCACCAAAGCTATACCGAATAAGACAAATTATACGGAGCACTACACATTGGGGCTGGCCATCAAGGGCATGTTCACAATGTCGTCTGTTTCATCTCGGTCCTGTCTTCTTTTCATTCTCATCCATCTTCTTGCTGTAAAAGAGAAATGTGTCAGCCACAGCATGGAACACAACCAAAGGCAAACAAACACAACACAAACCCCTTTCTGATGTGGAATATTGTGAGCTAAAAACAGTGAAGTCATTTATTCTGTATTTTTAAACAGCGAGACACGTGTCATGTTAAACTGTGTTGAAATGAATGAAGTGCTCCGTGTCCTTGCTGGTTGTTCTGGCACATTCAGAATTACCACTTTTGCTGACTAGTTGTCTCGGAAAATCTTGAGTCGGAGAAAGCCCTTGATTTTTTTTCTGGTGGCAGCAAGTTCCTACCAGCCTGAACACCACTTGCTGCTGCTATCCACCTGGTCTAATCTCATCACACAGCTAAATTGAGAGGGGTTGAACCCATAAAGCAGAGGAAATGGTTAACAACATGGTTGTAACAGAATTAATATAGTAATAAATCCCAGAGCGGATAATCAGACTTTGAAGCTAATGTTGCTCACTGACCATTTCTCTTTGTTGATCTGTCTTTTCTCAGCTGGTGAATCATTCAATAAACTCAGTTGTAGTAAAATCAGTTCCTGTATTGTTCCTTCTCTGTAGTTTCTGAGTTTGGCATTGTAACACAATAAGCTGCGACAAACAAATGCAGCGGCACTCCCTCTCTTCACCACTGCCAGTACATTTACATTGAAAACAAGGTTGTCTGAAAGAACCTTTATTCATCTGCAACTGACATGTCCCTGTTTTCATGGACAGCATCCACTCTTTCAACTCCACATGGCAGGTTGAAAACAATAAACCATATCCAGCCACCATCTGTATCTGACCTGTATCCACAGTACTGACCTTTGACCTGCAGCTCTACAACATTCTGCCATATGATGTCTTCATCCTCACGGACAGTGCAGATGTAGTAATCACTGTCTCTGGTGGTGGGTTTGCTCAGGGTCAGAGTGAAATCTCCAGTTAGCAGCAGACTTTCCTTCAGCTTTGTGCGACCTTGGTAAAACTTGTCCTGCTCCTCAGGCTGGTTCTGGCCATTATGATAGACATGGACCTTTATGGGTTTGGGCTCACAACGGCTCCACTCCACTGTGGCACCATCAGGCAGTTGAACTGAGCTTTGAAAGTGCATCTGGACAGACTCTGTCCCCTCGTCCACTTCCTCCTGGTGGACTGAAAGGACAACAAGAGACACTGATGATTACAGGAGCAGTGGCCAACACTGACCTCTGACTGGTATATACAATACTGACCTCCGGCCTGATGCCGCACTACTTTTCTTGCCAGGATGTCGCTGTCCCTGTAGACGGTGCAGATATAAATGCCACTGTCACTGTCTCTGGGGTTATTCAGGGTCAGACTGAGGTCTCCAGTTTTAAGCATTTCTCTATTCATCTTTGTTCGGTTGCTGTAAAGCTTGTCCTGTTTGTCAGGCTGGTCTTGGCCATTCTGACACACATGGACCTTCATGGGTTTGGGGTCACAGCGACTCCACTCCACTGTGGCATTCTCAAGCAGGTCAGCTGCGATTTGGTAAGGCAGGTTGGCAGGTTTCAAGGTGGAGACTGAGAGGACGATAAACCACAACGTCAACTTCACAAACAGCAGCAACAATGATACTGATGGAGGCAGGAGAAATGGCCTACAGTAATTTCTGATGTCTGAACTGTATCAACAGTACTGACCTTTGACCACCACTGCTTTCTGTGCCATGATTTGTCCATCCCTGAGAACAGTGCAGATGTAGGTTCCTCTGTCACTGTAGCCAGGCTTATAAAGGGTCAAACTGAGGTCTTTGGATTGCAGTGGGTCATTGTTCATCTTTGTGCGATCACAATAATATTCATCCTGTTTGTCAGGCTTGTTGTGGCCTTTCTGATACTCATGAACCATCATGGCTTTGGGTTCAGAGCGCCTCCATTCCACTGTTGCATCTTTGGGCAGGTCAGCCACAATTTTGAAGGGCAGTGTGAAAGACGTAGACCACTCCTCAACTTCCACCTCCGTCTGGACTGAGAGACAACACACCAGAACATTATTTTCTTAAAATCATTACCGTAGCAGTGATACTGATGGTAGAAACAGGAGTGGTCTGTCCTCTGACCTGTATCCACAATACTGACCTTTGACCTGTAGCTGTACAACATTCTGCCATACGATGTCTCCATCCACGTTAATAGTGCAGATGTAGAAATCGCTGTCATTGTCAGTGGGTTTGCTCAGGGTCAGACTAAGATCACCAGTTTGAAGTAGATTTTCTTTCACTATTGTCCGACCTTGGTAAAACTTGTCCTGCTCCTCAGGCAGGTTCTGGCCATTATGATAGACATGGACCTTTATGGGTTTGGGTTCACAGCGGCTCCACTCCACTCTGGCACCATCAGGCAGTTGAACTGAGCTTTGAAAGGGCATCTGGACAGACTCTGTCCCCTCGTCCACTTCCTCCTGGTGGACTGAAAGGACAACAAACTGTAATAAAATATGTAATCTGTACAAAAAATGTAATCTGTATAAACAGCAACAGCTGCGACACTGATGGCCGCAGGAGCAGTGGTCTACACTGACATCTGACTGGTATCTACAACACTGACCTTTGGCCTGACGCAGCACTACTTTTCTTGCCAGGATGTGTCCGTCCCTGTAAACTGTGCAGATATAAATGCCATTGTCACTGTAACTAGGGTTACTCAGGGTCAGACTGAGGTCTCCAGTTTTAAGCATTTCTCTCTTCATCTTTGTTCGGTTGATGTAAAGCTTGTCCTGTTTGTCAGGCTGGTCTTGGCCATTCTGACATACATGGACCTTCATGGGTTTGGGGTCACAGCGACTCCACTCCACTGTGGCATCCTCAAGCAGGTGAGCTGCGATTTGGTAAGGCAGCTTGGCAGGCTTCACACTGGAGACTGAGAGGACGATAAACCACAACGTCAACTTCACAAACAGCAGCAGCAGTGATACTCAAGTGGCCTATAGTAATTTCTGAACTCTGAACTGTATCAGTAACAGTACTAACCTTTGACACAAACCAGCACTACTTTCTTTGCCAGGATCCATCCATTCTTGTAAACAGTGCAGATGTAGGTCCCTCTGTCACTGTAACCAGGTTGACATAGGGTCACACTGAGGTCTTTGGATTTCAGTGGGTCATTGTTCATCTTTGTGCGATCACGGTAATATTCATCCTGTTTCTCAGGCCTATCTTGGCCTTTCTGATACGCATGAACCATCATGGCTTTGGGTTCAGTGCGCCTCCATTCCACTGTTGCGTCTTTAGGCAGCTCAGCTGTAGTTATGAAGGGCAACTTGACAAATTCATCCCACTCCTCGACCACTACCTTCCCCTGGACTAGAGGACAACAAACCACATTGTTTTTACAAACAGTAGGAACAGTGATGAAGTACACTGACCTCTTACATGTATTTACATTACTGACCTTTGACCCGGAGCTGTACTACTTTTTGTGCCAAGATTTCTTGCTCAGTGTAGACAGTGCAGATGTAAGTGCCACTATCCCTGTAACAGGGGTCCCTCAGTGTCAAACTGAGGTCTCCATTCTTTGGTGGGTTTGCAATCTTTGTGCGACCGGGGTTAAACTGGTCCTTTTGGTCACTGCCCTTCTTGTAAACATGGACCATCCTGGGCACAGGTGCACAGCAGCTCCACTCCACTGTAACGTCCTCGGGTAGCTGGGTTTTGGTTTTGTAACGAAGCTTGACACTCTTGACCCCCTCTTCCACCTCCACCTTGGAGACTAAGAGGACAACAAACAACAAAATCAGTTGTACAAACAAACACAACAACTGTACTAGAGGTCTTCACAGGTCTTCTTACTACCTGATGATGTTGAGCTATCTGAAAATTTAATTGCACTGACAGCACTGTTATTTTATGAATTCTAAACAATTCTCTGACCTATTCTGACAGTTTTAAGCATGCCATCATTCAACCACTGCTAAAGAAGCCTAATCTGGGTTCCTTCTCCTTACATAACTATAGACCAATCTCCAAACTACCTTTTTTATCTAAAGTTCTGGAAAAGGTAATCTCATCTCAACTGGTATCTTTTATGAATAATAATAATAGCATTTCTAACTGATTTCAGTCAGTCAGCATGGATGTCACAAAACTTTCTGAAATAAATAATAAATCTGAGCTCATCCTGTTTGGCCTCCCAAATTTCATGAGCTCACTTGGAGCAAATCTTGGTGGTCTCAAAGATAATGTTTAGCAGGCTGCTAGAAACCTTGGGGTAATATTTGATGCAAATCTCTGCTTTAATGAACAAGTCGAAAATGCTGACTGCAAAGATTTGGTCATTTTTATCCTTTGGTGATCTGCAAAAAGTAGTAAATGCTTTTATTATTTCTAGGCTTGATTAAGGTAATGCACTTTACTTGTGTATTACCCAGGGCTTCCTCCACAGTCTCCAGCTGGTACACTGCTGCTCGACTTGTTACTGGGACAAGAACATATGAACATCACCCCAGTGCTGGCCTCCCTATATTGGCTTTGGAATTGATTTAAACATTTTATCAGTAACTTTCAAAGCCTTAAATTGACCTACCCTCACATATGTCTCTGATTTATTATCCTTGTATGTTCCCCTGCGACCCTTGAGATCCGCAGATGCCGCCCTGCTGGATATCCCCAGGTCACACTGTGTGACAAAAGGCAATCAGGCTTTTTCCATTAGTGTTCTGAAGGCTGCAGACAAAGCAGGTGACTTGGCCAGATCCAGCCACTAGGGGCGCTATCGCGCTCAATCGGGCCGAGTGCCGCAGCTTGTGAGGGAGAGAAGTAGAGACTGACGACAGCAGAAGTTGTGTTTGATACTTTGGGGCGTTCGTTTTGTCTCGTAATCGCGACTTGCAGCTCGAGAGTGACGTCACATCCGTGTTTGAAAACGAGTAACCGCGGGTTGTTGCGTTCTGTTTGTTTGGTAACGTTGATAGTGATTATTCACACGTTCATTATTACACAATCATATCTCACAGTTTGATATCTGAATACTCCGTTCTCATTAACGTTACCGTTACCGTGGTTACTGCTCTGCTTTCTGCTCAAGACTCGGCACTGTTGTCATAGCAACATGGAGCGTCTCGAGCCACTTTCAGCTGCACGAGCTACAAAGTAACTAATGAGGCTCATTAACTCACAATGAGACTGTAGCAACAGTGTACAGTGCTGTGGGTACGACAAACAGTAGAAAAGCTCAATGTTTACTGTGTGATACTCGGAGTAGCCATCTTGGTAACTGAACTCGGGTCCTCTGAGTTCAGACTTCAGGAGTCGTTTTATAACGTTACGACCTCGGGAGCTTTCTATTTGCAACTTCCGGTTCGTAAGATCGAGTCAGGTGGACAAAACGAACGCACCATTTGTATCGGTTGATCTGCTGTTTGTGGTTCAGTCCAGAGAAACCTAACTTATGTTGTTTATTTGTTGTATATTTTATCTGTTTATATGTCTGCTGGTTGAGATTATATCTGGTGCTACAATGCATATTTCTGCTAGTGTTGACTCTTACCTCTGATGGTTTAAATGGTCATTTATGTTATATTTATGCCACTGACCATTTCCTTTGTTGTCAGTTAATATGGGATATATAATATGTATATTCCTTCTCTATATGATGTTCATGTATTTTCATGCTAAGGATGATTATATTATTATTTCATTTGTGTGCTATAGTCAAGCATATTGTGAGCTGTTTATTGATGGCTGTTGTTGTTTTGGGTTATTCCAGAACCACACTGGATTAAAGCGCCATAAATGGATTGACCGTCTCCTTCATCATTTGTATCTAAGTCTTGGGGGAACTGTAGGTCCGTTCTAGCAGACGCACACTTCGCGATTACGAATCAGAGAAGCCAGTCTACTATCTTTGAGCCTCTGCCACAATTAGAGCCCCCACACTATGGAACTTACTACCTACTAAACTCAGACACACTACAACTCATTGTCCTTTTTATATCTCTAACTAAAACTTCTCTTCCTGCAAGCTTTTGGGAATATCTGATATATTTTTATGTGTACGTTTTTATTCTTATTTATTTGTTCTTATTCATTGTATTGTTTTATTAGTTCAGTGCTCATGTTTCTTATTGTCATTTTATCTGCCTTGCATGGTTTTCATTTTATTTATTTATTTTTGTTTGGACAACACTTTGTAACATTGTTTAGAAAAGTGATAATAATAAATATACACACATACCTGTGATGACGCTGTACCTAAGATATACTGCAAGACCCAAAGCAACAACCAGAACACCCAGGAGAACCAGGAGAACCCAGGCCTCAGACGGGAAAGTGTATGGTTCTGTAGACAACAACATAAACATTGGCTTTACCTGAACCTAAAATAATCATTTTAAATCTTCACGATACATTACCCATAAAATGTTTCAGAATTGAGACTATTGAACAATTTTTACATTTTTACACTATTTTGAACATTGGTGAATGGAAGCCAAGGATATGTGTATTGATTTTAGATGCCGCCATCCAACTCCTGAAAACACAAGTATAAGTGGAGATATTTTGCTTGAATGCTTTTCTGAAGGCACACACGGACAGCTGAAAACCAGTAACTAATCTGATGAACGATGGCTTTTTGACCTTGCCTAACAAGCTGCAGATCTCCTAAGTAGACTAGGATACTTCTGACATGTTGGGAAACAAAGGAAGGAATCATCTTTTACAAAATGCTGAGTTTGACTTATTTGTTAATGCTTTCTCGTGATCACCATTCGGATACTTCAGCTCAATATGTCATTTTAAATTTATTGTTGATGAACTACAACATATTTACATCTGTAGTTTTACTAAGTAACCTTCTACATCAAAACATACATACTTGCTACATCCAGTTTTGATAATCCATATCCACATTACTGACATTTCACCTTCTCTATGCACAGTAGGGGAGATCAGGATTTGTTCCTCACCTTTGACCTGCAGCTGTACTTTTATCCGTCTCACTTCATATCCGCCACTGTGGATGCTGCAGGTGTATTTGCTGCTGTCAAAGAGCCGGGGTTTCTTTAGAGTGAGGCTGAAGTCTCCAGTCTCCAGAGCGTCAGCTGACATCGTTGTTCGACTGCTGTAATGCTGGTTTTGGACATAAAGCTCATCTTTATCCTGATGTTGGTGGATGGTTGTGGGATTGAGATCAAAGCGGCTCCACACCACTGTGAGGTCCTCGGGTATCCTAGATACCTGGCAGGGCAGCAGCACAGACTCCACCCCCTCATAGACCTCAACTCCTGAGGTATGCTGGGAAACTGTCAGGACACAAACAGAACACATTTTTTTTACATTTTCTTTTGAAGTGCTTGCAGATGCATTATTTTGTTGTGATTGAAGTATGAAATGATGTTGACCTGAACAATAAACACAGATTTACAAGGGTCCATAGGGAGTTTGGAGGTGGGATGTATAAAGATATATATATATAGATATAGATAGATTTGCACATACATACTTTTAAGCAGTTCCACCTTAAAAATTACTGTTTCTCCCACATGACCACCAGGGTGCCCAGGTTGTCATGATGTTATGGCTGTAAAAAAATCCTTCTAGTGTGATACTACACAGATATTAAACATCACACTGAAGGAACAAGACTGGTTTCTGACTGTAAAAGTTGCTATACCACACTGTAGTAAAGGTCTTGCTTTCAACTTTTAAGTAGTATTTAGTAGATATAGATTATAATGCAGGTGGAACTCATACATACTGCTGGGTAAAGTGAATAATACATCATTTATTAGTCAATTTATATTTTGCATGAATAATCTGAATCGCAAAAAGTAGACATATAAAGTAGCATAAAATGTAAATACTCAAGTAAAGATAAAGATACAAGTACTTATAGTAATAAGTAATTATACTTAAGAACCTTAAGTAATTTTCAATTTCAATAAATTATTTTATATATTGGTTGCCTTGAAATTTCACAATTTTAAAACATATATTCACAAAATAGTAATTACAGACATTAAACAGATATAAAGAAAATAAAGATTATAGACACAAAGATGAAGTAAATAACATCCAACAGAAGTCAATGCCCCACTACTCGGTCTCTGTGTGTTTCTTTCTGCGGATAAATGAGTCTAAATGAAACTGCAGCTTGAGTCATGAGAGTGGAAGGAGGAAGCTTATCTTACCATGCACCAGGATCACAAACACCACAAAGATCATCTTCATTTGAAAATGACAAAAACAAAAACTCTGATTCCCTCTTTTTGCGATCTTCCAAACCACAAGCTTGTCTCGTACATTTGTTACATTGTTTTTTTCTACAGCTTGTTACTTTCAGTTTAATGTTTGTTAAAGTGCCTCAAGCCAAACTGAAGGAGGAATGTGGCACATCAGGTTGTGCAGCAACTGCAGAAACAACAGAAATATAAAAACACATAAAAATACAGTGAAGATTCTCCCAGGAGATAAGGTGATGCAGTTCCATATACTGTAAACTGCTCTGCATGCTAGAGTATGAGTTGACCTCCATGTGCCTCTTAATGGTTAAAATAGTGGAATGACCAGTGTGTATGATTGAGTAGAATCTAGTGGTGAAGTTGCAGATTGCAACAAACTGAATGAACTGAATAGTTTATAGTTTACAGATTACATTCTAATATAATGTATCTGTAACTCTTAGAGTCTTTGCTCCTGCCATGCATCATGGGTATTCTTGTTTGCGACAGTGCAAATACATACAGCTAATGTGAAAAAACAATACAGTTAAACAGAGTTAAAACAGAACGATATATACAGTATACTAAAATTAAAATCCCTAACCTTAAGAATAGAATTAAAAATAAAATAGAAGTTAAAATATTAGTTATTATATATAATATATATAAAATGAACAGTAGCTACAATAAATGGTGCAAACAGTAAACAGTGCAAATGGAAGTAAAACAGTGCAAATGGATGTGCAAATACAGATAGAAATTGTCCATTGTCTATTATCTGTTGTCCTCCCTGCCTTTACTGAGAGCTGTTGTACAGACTGATGGGGGACCAAAGAGTTTTTGAGTCTGTTGGTGGAGCTGGACTGGGACAGCAGTCTGCCACTGAACACACTCCTCTGCCTGGTGAAGGTGTCGTGCAGAGGGTGGTGGGTGTTGATCCAATAATAAGATTCTTTGGGGTGACGTGCTACGGTAAGCTGATGACTCATTCCCGGTTCACTTCCTGCTCTGTGTACACTGTTTGGTGCTGTAGCTCTGTCAGTGAACGCTAAATCTAAATTTGTTTTACTCGTTACAGCGGTTATTTTCCCGCTTAACATTTAAACGTAGACTAGTTCTACCTAAACACTCGGAGTTTCTCCTTCTTTTAGCGACTTTTCACTACTTTCAAAGTTTTCATACACGCTAGCTTCATTAGCATTAGCAGTTAGCTATGGCTTCTCCCTCTCCCTCTCCTCTGTCCTGCTCAGTGTGTCAGATGTTCAGTTATTCCTCTGCCTCCTTTAAAGATAATGGTACCTGTATTAAATGTAGTTTATTTACTGCGCTGGAGGCGAGGCTGGAGGCGAGGCTGGAGGCGAGGCTTAGTGAGCTAGAGGAACGGTACCGCACCACAGAGATATCTTTAGCCGCTATAGTTAGCCAGCCCCCAGTAGCCGGTGCGGTCCGACCGAAGGTAGCTTCTGCTAGCCGTCCCCCGGTAGTTCCCCCGGTAGTTCCCCGGTAGATCCCCCGGTAGATCCCGAGCAGCCGGGAAGACAGGGAGGCTGGGTGACTGAGCGAAGGAAGACTAAAACACTGAAGCCCACAGGTCACCACCAACCCCTTCACGTTTCTAATACATTTTCCCCACTCAGCGATACACCCGCTGAGGAACCAACTCTGGTTATTGGCAGCTCCATAGTCAGAAACGTGAAGTTAGTGAAGCCAGCGGCCATAGTTAAATGTATCCCTGGGGCCAGAGCGGGAGACATTGAATCACATTTAAAACTGCTGGCTAAAGATAATCGTAAATACAGTAAGATTGTTATCCACGTCGGCGGTAACGACACCCGTTTACGCCAATCGGAGGTCACTAAGATTAATGTGGAGTCGGTGTGTAATTATGCTAAGACAATGTCGGACTCCGTAGTTTTCTCTGGACCCCTCCCCAATGTGACCAGTGATGACATGTATAGCCACATGTCGTCATTCCACCGCTGGCTGTCGAGGTGGTGTCCAGCAAACGATGTGGGCTTCATTGATAACTGGAAGCCTTTTTGGGGAAAACCTGGTCTGATTAGGAGAGACGGCATCCATCCCACTTTGGATGGAGCGGCTCTCTTATCTAGAAATATGGCGAAGTTCATCTCTAAAACCTGACAGTCCAGAGTTAGGACCAGGAAAAAACTAACTCCTCAGTAGCACAAAATAAGAGAATGAAATGTGGGCTGTTAAATATCAGGTCTCTGTCCTCTAAAGCTGTTTTAGTGAATGAATTAATATCAGATTATGATATTGATTTACTTTGTCTTACTGAGACCTGGTTGTCCCACGAGGAGTATGTTAGCCTAAATGAATCCACCCCCCCAGTCATATTAATACTCACATTCCTCGAGGCACTGGCCGAGGAGGTGGAGTAGCAGCCATATATGATTCGAGCGTTTTAATGGACCCTAAACCTAAACTAAATTATAATTCAATTGAAAGCCTTGTTCTTAGTCTTTCTCACCCAAACTGGAACAACTCTGGTTAAAGTTAATAATGACCTTCTGATTGCTTCTGACAATGGACTTGTATTATTAGATCTTAGTGCTGCATTTGACACCATTGACCATAATATTCTTTTACAGAGACTTCAGCATCAAATTGGCATTAAAGGAACCGCACTAAGCTGGTTTAAGTCATATTCATCAGATCGTTTGCAGTTTGTACATGTGAACGATGAATCTTCAATAAATACTACAGTTAGTCATGGAGTTCCACAAGGTTCTGTACTTGGACCAATACTATTTACTTTATATATGCTCCCTTTAGGCAAAATTATTAGGAATCACTCCATTAACTTTCACTGTTATGCAGATGATGCGCAGTTATATCTATCAATCAAGCCCGATGAAATTAATCAATTAACTAAATTACAAACATGTCTTACGGACATAAAATCCTGGATGAGCTGCAATTTTCTGATGTTAAACTCAGAAAAAAATTAAATTCTTGTTCTTGGCCCCAAAAACCTTAGAGACTCACTGTCTAAAGATATAGTTACTCTAGATGGCATTAACTTGGCCTCTAGCACCACTGTCAGGAATCTTGGAGTTATCTTTGATCAGGATTTGTCATTTAACTCCCACATAAAGCAGACCTCGAGGACTGCCTTCTTTCATTCACGTAATATTACGAAAATTAGACACATACTATCACAGACAGATGCAGAAAAACTAATCCATGCATTTGTTACTTCAAGGCTGGATTACTGCAACTCTTTATTATCAGGTTGCCCCAATAAGTCCATTAAAACGCTCCAATTAATTCAGAACGCTGCAGCACGAGTACTGACAGGAACTAGAAAAAGATCACATCTCTCCTGTACTAGCTTCTCGGCATTGGCTCCCTGTAAAATGTAGAATCCCTGTAAGAATAGAAATCCTCCTCCTCACCTATAAAGCTCTTCATGGTCAGGCCCCTTCATATCTTAAAGAGCTTATAGTACCCTATTACCCCTCTAGAACACTACGTTCTCTGAATGCTGGGCTACTTGTGGTTCCTATAGTCTCTAAAAGTAGAACAAGAGCCAGAGCCTTCAGTTACCAAGCTCCTCTCCTGTGGAACCAGCTTCCAGTTGTGGTTCTGGAGGCAGACACCCTCACCACATTCAAGAGTAGGCTTAAGACATTCCTCTTTGATAAAGCTTATAGTTAGGGCTGGATCAGGTGAGTCCTGAACCATCCCTTAGTTATGCTGCTATAGGCCTAGACTATCGGGGGATTTCCCATGATGCACTGAGCTCCTCTCTTCCTCTCTCTCTCTTTCTGCACTCATTCATGTCCCATTAATGCATGTTACTAACTTCACTTCTTCCCCGGAGTTCTTGTGCTTTCTCGTCTCGCAGGTTCTTATCGATCCTGGTGGAGCCTCCTGCCATGGTCCTGCTAGATTGCCATTGCCAATACTGGCTGGTCGAGACAGACGACCACCCACCTAGAGCTAAAGGATCTGTCCTAGGTTTCTGCCTTTTAACAGGCAGTTTTTCCTTGCCCTTGCCGCCAAGTGCTTGCTCATGGTGTTACTGTTGGGTCTCTGTAAATAATGTTATAAGGAGTTCGGTCTAGACCTGCTCTATTTGAAAAGTGTCCTGAGATAACTTCTGTTATGAATTGGCGCTATACAAATAAAATTGAATTGAATTGAATTGAAAATTGAATTGTTGTCCAGTATGGACAGCAGTTTGTCCAGGGTCCTTCTCTCTGCCACTGTCACCAGGGAGTCCAGCTCTGTGCCCACCACTGAGCCAGCTCTCCTCACCAGTCTGTCCAGTCAACCGGCGTCTCTCATCTTGCTGCTTCCTCCCCAGCAAACCACAGCATAAAAGAGAACGCTGGCCTCCACAGACTGGTAAAACATCTGCCGTAGTGTTTTGCAGATGTTGAAGGAGCCCAGCCTTCTCAGGACGTACAGACAGCTCTGCCCTTTCCTGTGTAAAGCGTCCATATTTGCTGTCCAGGCTAGCTTGTTGGGGGAGGTGATGGACATGGTGGGGGTGTGAAGTGGGCCGTCGCTGGTTGTGGGAGCTGGAGTATCAAACCTATTGAAAAACAGTTTTATAAATGAACGGATACCAGTGGATCTGACGTCTGGTGTGGAGTGACAGCCAGTTGATTAGAGAGTACAAGTTACAGTGATGAGCATTGAAAGGGGCACTAACTAAACTACAGAAGTGTAAAAAATAGGCAAATTATTTCAAGTTAGGGACGTCCCGGAGGGGCTGCGAGCCGAGCTGCTGCTAACGTTAGCTCAGCTTGTTTCTCTGATAACTTAAGATCCAGACGTCCGATGACTAAAATCCTTCATCTGGTTCAAATCTAGAGTTAAAAAGCACCAAGATCTAAACAGTGGATGGTAAACAGTCAATGTATGACAGCTTCTGATTATTGATTATTGATCAACTACATATAGAACATAACTCTAGAGTTTATGCACTGTTTAATGAGGTGATGTTAAATTGTATAGATTTAAATAAAAGTACAGCAATATTGTCAGCTTCTTGTTCCTTCAAACTTTTTGTTTTGTTTCTTTTTCGGCTTTTTTGCTGAAACATGTGTTACCTCTGACAGAAACAGGTTAATCTCAATCTGATTTATTATGAGCACCTACAAACAACTGGACATCAGAACTAAAGGAGAACTGTCAGAGACATTATTCACTTTGTAAAGATGAATGTCAGGACACATATTTAATATTTGTGTTTGAAAATAATGTGTTTGTACCTGAGCTCTGAACTGATTGTTGATAGTATGTGTCCTAACGGCAGTGTGAACCCTATTTTCACCAGCAGATGGCAGCAGTGATTTCTTTATTGTCATTACAAGGTTATTAAAACTCCACAGTACAAATCCCTGCATATAGAAAGACTTTTAATTTGAAAGGTCAGCTGTCATTTTCAGAACAGCTGCTCCGTCCACTGAAATATAGAAAAGTACCAGTACATTGATGCAAAAGTACTCCATTACAAGTAAAAGTCCTGCATTCACAATCTTTCTGAAGTAAAAGTACAGCAACATTCTCAGCCTCATGTAAAAGTATCAGTAATAAAAGTACAGAAGTAATTTCAGCTCCATGCAGTAAAGGTACACATTGTGCAGTACAATATTTCTGATTCCATGTGACATTATTACATTAATGTTAATTGTTAATAATGATTATCGTTGTCAATCAATAATCAATATTAAAGTAGTGTTGTACCAGCAGCAACATGAGAGTGATGAAAACATTAATAATTAATAATTATAATAAAATATGAACAATATTCTGCATAGAGTACTTTCTGGTACTTTCAGTTTATTATAACGGAAATAGTTTTGTACCTTTACTTAAGTGATATTTTGAACTTTAATTATTAGTTTAGTTTTATTATAGTTATTAGTATTTCCACACTGTAGTATTACTGTTACTGAAGTATCTGAGTACTTCTTCCACCAATGCCGTGGTGGCCCTGGCGTAAGTTCTGGCTGTACTTTGTTGAGTCATCTTTTGTTAGTTGAGTCTTGAGAACAGCTGATCCTGGCACAGTCACACTTTCACTGCCTCACACAGCGTCAGGTTCAATCAGGTTAACTGACAGATCAGAGAGCAGCTTTGTGTTCAGATGACAGATGAACTGTGCTGCTGTAAAAGCTTTTCTGATGTGAACAAGACGATGCAGAGACACACTCCGCCTTCACCATGCCGACTCTACAGGGAATTCACCAAGATCCGTCGAGGAGATGTGCTGCTGTTTGAACTCGCAAGTCAAAGAAAATACAAGAAGCTGATTGTTCCCA